GAACATGAATAAATATGCTACGTGTAAGGTATCGTAAAAAGGTTTGCCTAGCCCGTCATAGAAATAGGAAAATGTCACAAAACATTATAGTTCATTTTGTCTGAAACAAAACGTCTTTTTATCAACAATTTAATAGAAGGGCATTTAACATTTACGTCAATAATGATCCGTTGACATTAAAACAAAACTGTTTTCAATGTTGTTAGTTTGGTCTTGTATACGAATTTATTGCATTGTTTTGCGTTAATTACTGAATTACTGAACCCAAATATATCATGTACATGCTTGTATTGAAACAGAAATGACCAAGCAATCGTCAATCTAATCGAACGCAAATCATAATTCTGCTTTCGATTCCCGTTTCACAAATAATATTCAAAGTTCAGCATTCTTCTTTCATCAAATCCATATATTTTATGAGTCAAGAGAATTATCATATTGTGTGTATACCCTATTAAGAGAAATGCAATAATTACTTTTATTTCAAAGTCAATATCCTTTTCGGTTTTAATCATTGGTCAAGAGTATTCAAGCATATTATGAATATCTAAAGTAAAGAAAATTAAAAAAAAAAAAAACCTATTTGACATAATTTATACAAGAGTATCCAAGCATAGGCCTATATGAATATGAAAAGTGAAGTATAATATAAAAGTAAGCGTAAGCGGACATTTTTTTTTTTTTTGGAGTCCCCTAAAAAATCGCAACGACTCAGCCAGCCGAAAAGTCGCTCAGTGGGGGGGGGGGGTGTAAATTTGCACCCCCCCCTTGAGCGCCAGGGGGGGGGGGGGCCAACCCCCCCCAAAAGGTAAAAATCGCGTGATTTTGCATGATTTCTTTCTCAAGGGGGGGGGGGGGAGGCCGGGCCCCCCGGGCCCCCCCTGGATCCGCCACTGCATGTATTGATTTATACATATATCAGTGCACGTCCAAAATGGAAACGTGTCTGAATAGGCATCCATCCTAAGCGACTAAATATATCATTTGAAGATACTTCAAATCCTTCTCCCAGCCCTACACGTGCAGCTCGTTTTGAACCTTTTGTAATTTAATCGTCTTTGTCTCAGACCAAATCGAGGAACAATAATCAAAATGAGGAAGTACGATGGCATTATACAGAAGTTTTAGAGATCTTATTGAAACATAACTTTTGGCTCGCTTAATTACACTTATATTTCTTTGAGCAGTTTTAATAACTTTTTCCACATGCTCCATCCAACGTAACTCCTTGTCAATCATGACACCTAGGCATTTTGCCACTTTTACTCTTTTCAAACAGCTGCCGTTTAGTGTGACAGAAAAATTATTTACTCCGTTAAGAACTGATCGTGATCCATTACGCATCACATTTGTTTTATCCGCATTAAGAACTAGACGGTTTGTTGTTACCCATGAAAATATGTTTTCCATACCTTTGGTTAGCTTTTGTTCTACTAATGTGACATTACTCCCGCTGACTGTTAGAGTTGTGTCGTCAGCATACATATCAACAATGCCATCATGAATACATTTGGGTGAACTATTTATGTAGCTAGAAAAAAAGGAGTGGCCCTAGAATCGAACCTTGTGGGACTCATAACTTTTGAGGAACTCGAAGTAGCCCCTTTAAAACAAACCATTCTGTTCTCGGTACCTCCAATATTGGGGAAAACGGCGACTACAAAGGGGGACTAGAAGGGGCAGGAAGAAGAAGAAGAGAGAGAGAGACAGAGAGTTGGGAAAGGAAGGGGTGGGGGTAGGTAAACTGAGAGTGAGAGATCGAATAAAGTTCAAAAGGAAACTTAAACAGAGGATGGCACAACTTCACTGCACACCTTTTTCTTCCGCGCTTCAATATCTATATAGAACCAGTGAGATAAACTCTCATCTCCCTGATAAATCTTCCACCGGATCGACACCGAAAGCAATGCCCTCTCAATGACTGGATCTATTTTCACCCCTAGAAACTCCATTAGTATCCCCTCCCCTGGCGTTACTCATTTTTCCGAAGGTTCATAATTCCGAAATTTCCAACACCCCTGGGTCATAATTCCGAGATTGAGAAAGTGTTCCTAATTCCGAATATTATAATGCTTTACTCTCAAGGGCCGGTATTCCGAAAATGCTATAGGGTTCATTACTCCAAATGTTTGTAATTCCGATAATGAAATACGGTTCGTAATTCCGAAGGTTCGTAATTCCGAAGGTTCGTAATCAAATTATGTATCATTTATTATGATCACATATATCAAAGATACACTTACAGACACAGACTGCGTGGTACATCTCTTGCAAGTTCAAGTATACACATAGATGTTATAGTGAGTAATGAATCAAACAAATAAAATATCAATCTTTAATATCCTATTAAAACAAGGTCGTTACTAGTACTGTGCAGACATAATGTAACATTAAGGAGATGGGTTATCCCCGGTTATCATTCAACAATAAATACAAATCAAAGTTCACAAAATAACTCGGAACATTTTCGTCTAGTTGAACTGAATATTAAACCGAATACTAAGGGTAAACCTTGAATACACTATTAGATAAAAATACAACGTTATATAAATATAAAAGAATAATAATCATAACAATAATAACAATAATGAATAATGATAATAATGATAATAATAATAATAATGATTATAATAATAATAATACTGATTAATGATAATAAGGAGTATGGTAAAATTAAGAACAATAATAATAATAATAATAATTAAAATGATAATAACAATGATTATAAGAAGAAGAAGAAGAAGAAGAAGAAGAAGAAGAAGAAAAAAAAAAGAGAAGAAGAAGAAGAAGAAGAAGAAAAAGAGAAGAAGAAGAAAAAAGAGAAGAAGAAGAAGAAGAAGAAGAAGAAGAAGAAGAAGAAATAGAAGAAGTAGAAGAAGTAGAAGAAGAAGAAGAAGAAGAAGAAGAAGAAAAAGAAGAAGAAGAAAAAAGAGAAGAAGAAGAAGAAGAAGGAAAACAAACAGATTAAGGGGTGCCTTCCCCATTCTTTGTACAATAATAAGAATATGCCATTAATTAAAAGGACGCAATCCCGAAGTCTATTAATTTCCAGAGGTCCCCGGATAAGTCAGGTTATAAACAAAATGTATCATTTAATCTTATCTCAATGAGCTGAGTATGAACTAAGACGCGTACCAATGATTGTCAGCAAACAGATGAGAAATATTTGAACTACAACTCCTATTCCACTGCCGCCCCGTGTAGTTTTGTTTTACTACAATTACAGCGGGGCACAATGGGGTGCTGTCCGGAAGAAGAGGAGGGGTGGGGGTAGGCGTAATATCTCTGGTGAAGACCCATGATAATTTGAATTTATTTTCATGGGCCTTAAAGTGACTTGGTAACATTGTTGAAGGTTGATGAAAAAAATTGCTTAATTTGTGTATAAAATGTTACTTACTATATTCCTCCTATTGTACTAACCCTCTGACATGCAAAAAATCCTGAAAAAATTCTTAAACCACGAAGATATCTATGGTTTTCTTTGAAGGAGTCGATGTATGACACTCTCTAACAGTGATTAACAGTAAATTCTCCCAACCATTTTTGAATTTTCCCAACCGTTTTCCCATGAAAACAAGACATAAAACAGGCTATAAAATTTCTGTCAACACTTAAATGTCTGGAATGGAATGTAAAGTCATTGTATTGCTTTGTGACGATTTCCATTCACCTAAAATGTAACTAAATTGTAATAATACAGTTGGAAGAATTAAGGAATCGATCAGATCAGTTTTTCCCAATTTGTACCACGAATGATGGTCCGTTTCCACTCAAAATTTCAGATTATCTTTAATTGTACATCTAGCATTGATTTTCTGTGTTATTCAGGACGGACAAACAAGTTGTAGCCGAATGGCATGCCCCTATCTCTCATCTGAACAATGTTACCAAGGTCCCTTTAAGTGAAGGTTACACAGCGCACATAATAAATCATGGCTACACCACAAGACAGCCACTTTCATATTGATGAATACAATTATTCGGTTTGACTGTCTCCCAGAATATTTAGTAGGCGATTGTTATCTTGCTCTAGTCCTGCTCCCCCCAAAATACTCTCATACATTGAATACAGCATGCTTTCATAGAATGTCCTATTCTTATTCTGGTTAATGAGACAGAATAATATATTAATAGACTGATGTACTATTTGTATTAACGTAAAGAAAATTACAATATATCTTTGGTGGTCATGGTTTATACCCCCCTCCCCCCCAAAAAAAAAAGTCCGATGGAAATGTCTATCTCTCTTTTTATATACTATCCGACAGCCCACGACACCGACAGCCTACTAGACCGACAGCACCCGAGACCGACATCTTACAACATCGTCAAATTATGAGACCGACTGTCCAAAGGCCGACAATGTTATTCACATAAACCCTCGAAATAGTTGTCAGAAGTCCTATGTAAAGCAAAATGTCGGCCTCTGTCTCGTCGAACTTAATTCCTACAACTTTCCAGGAGGTTTAATAAATGAATAAACCAACATTGTCGTGAGCTGTCTGTTTATGAGGCTGTTGGTCTCGAGGGCTGTCAGTTAATGGGTTGTAGCCCTTTGGATGTAATATTCATTCTGTTACTGACTACATTGAATCATAATGATAAAGTTCATTATTATACGGTTTTAATGATGACGCCAATAACAATAGCATTAATTACAGTTAAGTGTATCTGACATTCCAATACAATCCAGACAATCAGAATTCAGTTTCAATTTGAATCCAAATAAAATGTAAATCACTTTCAACTACATTTTTAATTTCAAATCAATATAATCAAATGTGAGTTTAACCAATTCAATTCAATTCTGTATAGGCCTACGTCGTTAGTATCAACATAATTCAATTAAAAGATATGTAGTCATTAAAATTCAATTTAATCAGAAGGAAAATACGTTTCTTACATTATTTTTTCTTTAAAAACAATATATTGTAGTACATAAATAGCACAACATTTCCCACAAGACAGTTGATGGTGATCGGATTTTCAAGCAGCTTTCAGGCATCCGATTCAATCGACATATTCATCACCCTTGTCGTATCAGAAACGCTGAATATCTTTCCCGAGGTCGACGTCGAGCTGTCTTCGACCTTTCCTTGTATTCGACGAATACGGCGTGCGAGCCCGCTTCGACAGACCATCTTGTAGAGTACGGCGCGGAACTCTTCTAATCGCCACCAGTAGATGACGGGATCAATGACGAAGTTGAGGGCGACCAGGATGTTGCTAACGGCGTCGATGTTCTCGTAGTAGATGGAGTAAATCTGGAGGATGTCGTGGAAACAGTGCACGATCCAGCACACGCAACTCGTCAGAGTGATGACGGCAAATGTAGCCAGGACCTTGCGGGAAAAACAGATCGAAATATGTTATTCATTCTTTGTCAAAATGTGAGTGAAATTGATTGAAACACATTTATTCCCTTCTCATGAACCTTGCATGATATAAAAAACAGTAATGATTGAAGTAAATTATTTTGCAAAATAGGATGAATCGAAAAATGGAGCCCGTGATGGAAGTGATTGACTGTCTGCATTTATTCACCAACAACAGTAACAATATGTGTTAATAAAAAATATGTCTTCAGAATCGAAAAATATGCTGAAGGATGGTAAATGGGAAAAGAAAATAGGACTTGTGCTACTCGAGCCTGACCCCTCTGCGAAATTCAACATAGAAGACTTTCACTTCTATAGAAGACGGAATTTTACCGCCGTATTTCCCAACAAATTGCAACTTTTTTTGTCGACAACCCCCTTAATTCCTCTTCAGAATGAAACAAAACAACAACAAGAAGTATCAACAATCCAAAAAACGTAACAAACAAACAAGCAAAGAGAAACAAAGAGTCAGGGAAACAAAGAAACAAACAGAATTCCTTATTGGTTTCACCTTTTTCATCCCGTGTCGATGTGCCCCTTTAAACCCTTTATTTATAACAAATATCACATATAAACTTCAAGAGCTACGTTTCAAGTTCGAAATATTTTCGTTTCATCATCTCCTTCGTTCTATACATACACTTCTCTGGGAACACCATGAATAAGATATCAGCATTTTCGGCTTCAGGAAATAAAGACATGACACAAAGGAGTTAATCACATTAAGCTTGATAGTCCGCACTCAAGATATACTTTCGAAATCTCCTTTGGTATGAAGTTAATTCTTTTTCTCCGCTGATTAAATGGATTTAAAATGTTAAATTGAATGATACTGTACATACAGGTTATCAAGAACCCCTCCCCCTCCCCCATTGAGAAGAAAACAATCTAAGTGCTTGTCTGAATCAAGTGAACTGCCCTACACATTTGTAGCAGCGGGAAAACGAATTATGACGCATGTTCTATCTTTTAGAAAGATGATCGTTGCATTGTAGAAAGCTTTCAGGCTTTTTAATATAAGCCTCTCAACAAATTATGAAACTACGTCAAATGCGGAAAATGTGATCTAGAAATTAGAAGGTCATTGGTCGACAATAAGAATACGTCCATTTTGCAAGAGATAGGTAAAAGAGGCTCGAAATTTCATGTCTATTCATTTTTTACATCAGCAAAGAAACGAGAATATGAGATTGATCTGGCTGACATCAAAGTTTACAATAGACGTATATTTTGAAGGAACCTTTATCACTGTTGAAATTAATAATAACAATCCTAGATCTACGAGGGAGTCAAAGGAATTTCGTTTTCCAACTTTCCACCTTTTCTCCATTATTTTTAATGAGGTGTATGCCATTTCAAATCTACAGATAGTGACTCCTGGTTAATCGTTTAAAATAAGTGATCGTCACTGCTGGAATAAACAAACAAGAACAAAGCAAACAAACAAAGAAAAAGTTACATAAACACATAAAAAACAAAGCCCCTTTGTTCTCTTGCTTTGATTATATTGATATACAGTCAAACCTGTCTTTGTGGCCACTTCTCTAAAACGGCCACATTACTTCGGTATGATGAAGACACATCAGACCGAAGTTGCAAAATAACCCGCTCTTTTCAGACTCGGGATATTTTCCCGAAGCTCGAAACTGGGTCTTTACTGTATCGATACGCTCATCACAAACTAGCGCAAGTTAGCCCGCTATTTCCCAATTAGCGGGCTATTTTGGAAACAAGATCAATATTTGAAGAGCTTAATTCCAAAAGGAGCTAAATCCAATTTTGATGAAAATTGAGTAATAATTCAGAACATTGTTCACTTAAGTACCCATCTTTCAATTTTCAGAGCAATTACAAAAATGCACCTTCTAATGTCACTTTTCCACAGACGCCTGTACAAATTCTGGTAAACAATTTTTTGTTCATCTCTGAATTAAAAAAAATGGATTTAGCTCCTTTTGGAATCAAACTTTTCATTTCTCGAGATATTTTATCGACCAAATAGCCCGCTAATTGCAACTGCGGGCTGATGAAGACGCAAATTAGCTGGCTAATTAGCTGAGATCGAGCTTGCTAAAATAGCTGGTTCCAACTTCGATCGGATGAAGGTAGGCCTTAGAAATCGCATGGCAGTAATTAACTTGCCCGATTTGACTTGGTATAATACTTCTTTTAATAGTATACCAAAGACATAAGAACTCGGATTTTTAATTTATAGAAGCTAAAGATATTTAATGGTCACAAAACCTCACGGTTTAATTACGATGGGCAATGTTTATCTCACTAAACGAGGACATCCATTGTCCTCTAAAAACGGCAGTCTCTCTGACTGATTACCTTCCGGTTTTCTTTAAGGCGGCTCTTGATCTGGTCGAGGCCTCCCGCGTCCCGGCCCGCTCCCGAGATGTCCTTGTATGTCATGATGTAACAAAAGGCCGTGATCGCCAAGCTGGTGAACATGATGATGGGGTTAATGAGGAGGAGAAACGTGTCGTACACGCTCGAGCAGTACTTCAGGACCAACATCGGCACCACCAGCAGCACCCACATCAACACGCTGCCGACGATGCAGCGGGGTGTGGTGACCAGGTTACGACTTCCGAACGGGTCGAAGGCGATGGCGATGAAACGGTAGCAAGCGACAGCGAGGACGCTAAGGACAGAGACGAGGATGGCGCAGTGAAAGATGACCTTTAACCCCGTTTTCACTGCGTATGACGTCTGTATTAAAGCGGGAAGAGATCAATAAAGTGTTACTCTTCTTTAAAAACACACAAAAACATGTACGTGCTAGAAGAAAGAGAATGAATGGGAAAAGAAGAGGAGACAAGAGAGAGAGAGAGAGAGAGAGAGAGACAACGAGATGACCCAATATTTTGCACTATATATTTAAATTCAAATACTTGTTTTTATCCGTGCTGTGTTTCATCTAAGATAAACAGGGTTACAACGACATAGATTTAGATTTGGTATACACTTAGGATTGGTTACAAAAAGGAGAGGAGAAATGGGCCTAAATCCTCCCCATTCACAAAGAGGTGGATCTCCATGTGATGTTTATACCGCGGTCATGCCTTTTCCAAAATTAAAATGTTCATCTTATTTTTACCTTAACATAGTGAGATCATGAATAGTGGCTTTGAATTATAATCAAATAAAATTGGATATGATTATATTAATTACAAAGTGCGCTATAAACTTTTACCGTCCTCACGGTTATTTGCAACACATTATTATGCATCGCCGTAAATCATAAGAAATGGAGTACAAGACTTTTGACATGACAAACCGTCTTGTGCGTTGTATATATTTCAATATCACATAAACTATGTAACTGATCACTTTTTTTTTTTGGTTGTACAGACAACGACGATGGCTATAATGCCGAAAGCTTGGCCACAATATACATTGGTACAGTCCTCGGCAGTCTTTCGTATACATGTATATGTGGAAATGTGCGTATGTGTGCGCGTGCGTGCGTGTGTGTGTGCGTGTGTGCGCGTGTATATATATATATATATATGTAGATAATATATCTTGAAATCATTAAACAGTTGCCCTTGTTTCTCGCCATCATAGAATCCCCCTGCTTCATGAAACGATAATCGCTAATGAAAAGAAAACTAAGATGACTATCGCTAAACCCTCTTCAGCAGGACAGTAATAGGCTTATGAGATATTATTGTTCCACTCTTGGAGTTCCACCCGACCACGAACATTTGATGATATCATCTGGTTTCGAAGGAATCAATCAATCTTTCATTCTAGACCGTTTATCCATGTACTGTTGAGAGAAACATGGCCGAGGCCTGAGATTCAAAGTTCCAGTTCAAATTTTATTTCCATTTTCAAACTAAAAAATACAGGTTATACACAATAAATAGATTACAAACAACATTTTACAACTATACAAAAGTACTTATACAAGTGTGCATGTTTTATTTTTCTTTGCATAACAATACAAAAAATATATATATATTTCGTAATAGATTTACAAGGGATTATAAGATAATCATATTATACAATATAATTCGAGAAGAAAATAAAAATCTTGCTGTTTATTTAACTATGTTGCTGTATATTCATTTATTATTCTCAGATACCGAAGATTGTTTTCCTCAACACATCATAAACCTGTTTTACTCGCGGTAATCCCTTCCCAACATTTTCTCTAAAATGCTAATTTCCCCTCATAACTTTAACATTTGCGAAGTAGGCTACGTACTTTCTGTCATTTTCAGGGATTACATCAACTGAGAATGAAACCATTGTCATTGTTTCCAAGATCCCATTTATGCACATAATAATAATTGTAATAATGCTTTTCCCCAGGGTAGCCTCATCATTATCAAACTGTTCGACTTGAGGGCCCTGCAATCACGTGAAGTTAAATTGTCCCCGTTCCCCATGCAGGAACAATGCCTCTTGATTCCATTCTATTTATTATTATTATTTATGATTTGAAATAGGCGAATACATCTATTTTGTCTTCCAGAATGTAAAAGAATATAGTGCAATAAGGCAATATCAATAGCGTTAAAGATAAACTTGGTAAAAAAAGAAAATGAATTCTCACAGAATCTAACGAAACTTACACTGAATGTTCAAGATTACAAATAAATGTCATGTGCCAAACAATTTTGGAAGAAAATGTATACTGGCTGAGTAATGAGCATAGAAAGATAAGGAAATCAGGGTAGTACTAGCCCCGACACCATGTGTGCTGTCCCATATACATCTTTCTGTGTAAGTGATTGTTATTTTACCAAGACTCTGCCAAATTTATGATGATTTTGATGACTCCAGAACCTTGCATTACACATGCTATATGATCAACTTTTCTGATCCATTCCACACCTTTTCTTTCACAATGCAATCGCATTACCAGAACTCAAGTTTATCTTTAAGTGCGTCATCTACTTAACTTTGCGAACATTACGATGAGGTATTACGTAATTTGAACATCATTTCTATGGGATGTGTAATATAGTATTGAAATTGCATTTGAGTAAATTTCTCGAAAATAGATGCGTTCGTGTTGTTGGCAGTTCACTTCGTTATCATTACGTTTCAATATGTTCATTATCAACAATTTGTATTTTGTGTGTTTGTGTCAATAAGTTTTTAATTTAATTTGAAAGCTTGGAGTTGATATTATTATCAAATTTACAAACTCCTTTTATACAGGGAAATTTAAACAAAAGAAAAACAGAAGAAGTTATATCTAACAAACGAACACATAAATAAAGAGCGCTTGTAATAACGAAAAAAAGAATTCTCACAGCGCACAGAAATACAATTAACCAGGCATGTTTCCAGCAAAGTACAATATTTTTATTGGGTTGCAATTTCATAAATATTCACTTTTTACCTCGTTAAGTTTCATTTGTGATAATCAACAATAAATTTCTGTTTTGTCCCAAGCTGATACATAAAGGAGAAGGTCGTGAAATATTATTTATTTACCTTAATTGGGCGTAATTTTCTTCTGTTCGTTTCCTACTTATTAAATTTAAATGAGCGTCTACAAGCACTTCTCGCACCCTATTTGGTGCAATAAATCAGTAATTGGAACGTTATACCTGAATTATTCAAGACCAGAAACACAAGTGGTCTCGTTGAAGACGTTTGCTACAAATTACTTCTAGTTGAATAAATAATTGTAAAGTAATTATTATTAATAACGTTTATTTCCCGTAATTGTAGCGTCCTTCCGCTTTGGAGTAGTCAAAACGTATCTCCAACTTGAGTTTTCATTAAAAAAATGACAAGTTGTATTGTATATATATATATATGTAACACGCCGATATCACACGCAGAAACTGGTAGAAAATACTCGATCACACCATTCGTTGTGTTGCGGTTCTTTTTTATTTCAGGTGCAAAGTGAACAAAGCTAAAGTAAGCTAAAGCCAAAGCTAAAGCCTGGACAAATAAACAAAGTTAAAACAATTAAATAGAAATATGGACATGTTTGAAAAACACACATAATAGCGATATAACATAATATTTGTTAATGACTCTAAGATACGCATTCCAACAATATGACGTCAAGCCGACTCATAATAATAAATGATAAACATGTTGTTTATATTACATTCATTAAAACTTAATCAATATTGCATGAAAATAACCAGCATCTAATCACAAATAAAGTTCTTCCATCTGTATGGATAACTTTCCCAACAAATAAATGAATACAACCATCAAGTGAACTTTGTCAAACAACCAAACATAATTCCCAATTAAAACTACGTTGAATTAGTGGTTTATACATTGAATATGATAACCCACTCACCCTGGCAATCTGGCCTAGAGGACTGTTTCCTCTCGTTCCCGCTTCTTACATGTTGATCGTAATTTGTCAACACCTGGAGGAATAATAATTAATACAAATCATTGTAAATTTGACTCTAAAACACCAAACTGAAAAAGGTTCAGATTATATCCGTTAACTGTTAACTCTTAAAACATTACTTTAAATTACAACTGTCTTGCAAAATACGATTATCCAGAGTTAATCTCAACAACACATTATATAACTAAAACTCCTAAAGATTACAAGCAATATAACAGATAACATAGTAATATTCAAATCATCTCAAATTACTATTACCAAATCCTAATCTAGTGCTTATCTCACTAACGAAATCCACCTAAACTGATGATTAAACAAATAGTATGCCACACCTTACATAATGCATATTAATTCAGCACAAACTCTATCGTTAAGAACGATACCAAGGTTATTAACTAACATCAAAATACATCTACAAAAGTACTAATTATCTCAATAATTATCCAATTTATAACAAAAGAATAATCTTCTTACCTATATAATGACATGTAACACCAAAAGCTTGCAGAGTCGACCTCCCTGCCTGCCCCATGGATGGGGTGCAGTACAGGAGTGAATCTGTCAAATACCTCTGCCTTCTTTTATAACAGCTTCACTCTCACGGTGGTATAGCTACCACACATAACCTGTTCTGGGAAAGCTAGGTCTTGTTATTGGGAGGGAGACAGGAAGTCTTTTGTTTTGGGGGTTCTTATCCGATGTTTACAATCTGGGGTTTGTTTGGCAAAGTTATTACAAGTGTTCTGGAAGGGGGGGGGGGGGTCGAGTTTCCAACCTTTGACCAAGTGACCATACATCATTAACTCTCTCATAGCTGTGGAATGTCATGTTTTGGCCAAATTGATAGCTTCTACTCGGAATATGTGTGAGTCATACTTCTTTGAAGTACAAAGTTTGTTAACATATAAACTTCTTACTTTCCTCCTGAGGAGATATTGATTAGAAATGGATGTATATGTTTCACTATAAAACAGTTCAATTCTGACCTGTTACACACTCCCCTGCTTAATTGAGTGTCGTCCCGACACTCAGACTACAACAAAAATTATATTTAATTCCCTCTATACCTTCTGCCCATCATGGCTGTTTCCTGATCCTAATACCGATGCCTACCAATATGCAAATCAAAATTAACCATGTGATTAAAAATATTTTTGCATAATACAGAATATAAAAATTGAAATCATAACACATTATTGGCCAACGCGCACCACTAATACGAACTTTCTGGTCTCATGACGAGAATCACAGAAAACATATCTAGTGCGAAAAACTCATCTGTTTCAGTCATTCTAGCACTCCTTATTATGTAATACTGGTCTCATGTCGAGGCTCCTAGCATTAACCTAATCTAAGTGCTATACCCAACCGATCCTAACAGTTCCAGAGTCTCTACTGCCAAACCTTAGTTATCAACACAAATCTTCATATTACAGGCATCTCTAACAAGCCAGATGATTTTCACGGTATATACCCAATTATTCTACCCTGTGTCATTTTAAACACACAAAAACAATAATCGTCCTTATAGTACATGTACACACTCTAGCAAATACAGCAGTAAAACTGTCAACTATATTTCGTAACGACCTTGCCCTACAGATATTCCTTTCGCATATCTTAATAAACTCCTAAGATACAAAAATTCGACAATGCAATATACAAAGAAATCTTATAACTTTTGGCTAATCCTCTCCGCTACCAATGTGCCCTTTCCGGCCTCTCTATGAGGTTAACAGAAAAACAAAGATAGAGAGATAAACCCTACTGTTCCTAGAAGTCGCCCCAGTATTTCTTCCATGCATGATTCCGGTCTCATGTCGAGGTTTTCGGAATAAACATTAAATACACTATCCAGGCTAAGTCCAACAGTAATTCCAGCCAAATCCCAGTTACATTCCAGAAATCTCGGTATAAAACAATACAATATCCATTACACAACACACGCACATAGTTACTCCGAACAATTGCTGACCCAAACTGAAACAACATTTCACGTTCATGGGCTCCCCTGCTTTTCCAAAAGCAGTCCTTAAACTAACAAATATATCCACCATGCATATCAATTCAATGAATGTAATATACATGCTACAACCTAACTTACCTAAGTTACCAAAACTTTAACATCATGCCCAACTTCAAATCTCAACAATTTACAAGTTCAAATAAAGGAATATTCCAACTATTCATATCTGATAAAGCTAGAGCTTCATACCTGCTCTACACCTACATGTACTGCTATCCCTCCTATCAATATATAAAATACCGGTGTCTTTGTATGCCATCCCTTAATTTGAGGCTCCATCCAACCAGCCGAAATTAAATACGAAAGGGGGTATGGATTGTTCCAAACACAGTATTATCATGACAGTCTCAACAACATATAAATAGTATTACTCCTTAATTTCCCCAAAACAATTTAAACTGAATACATTAAAGTATTCCATTACAAGATAATTTCAAAAAAATTACCCTAAACAAACAATTAGCTACAACACTCATACAATACACACAATCATTGTATCTTAAATCTACGTCGATATTTACACGTTTCTAGACATCTGTGTCCGATCGAGTTGTCCCACACGGATGTAGAAGCTCCACAGAAAGCCAGGGCTAATTGCACTTGCAGTGATGAAATCCTGCCGATTACGCCATTTGTAACACGCCGATATCACACGCAGAAACTGGTAGAAAATACTCGATCACACCATTCGTTGTGTTGCGGTTCTTTTTTATTTCAGGTGCAAAGTGAACAAAGCTAAAGTAAGCTAAAGCCAAAGCTAAAGCCTGGACAAATAAACAAAGTTAAAACAATTAAATAGAAATATGGACATGTTTGAAAAACACACATAATAGCGATATAACATAATATTTGTTAATGACTCTAAGATACGCATTCCAACAATATGACGTCAAGCCGACTCATAATAATAAATGATAAACATGTTGTTTATATTACATTCATTAAAACTTAATCAATATTGCATGAAAATAACCAGCATCTAATCACAAATAAAGTTCTTCCATCTGTATGGATAACTTTCCCAACAAATAAATGAATACAACCATCAAGTGAACTTTGTCAAACAACCAAACATAATTCCCAATTAAAACTACGTTGAATTAGTGGTTTATACATTGAATATGATAACCCACTCACCCTGGCAATCTGGCCTAGAGGACTGTTTCCTCTCGTTCCCGCTTCTTACATGTTGATCGTAATTTGTCAACACCTGGAGGAATAATAATTAATACAAATCATTGTAAATTTGACTCCAAAACACCAAACTGAAAAAGGTTCAGATTATATCCGTTAACTGTTAACTCTTAAAACATTACTTTAAATTACAACTGTCTTGCAAAATACGATTATCCAGAGTTAATCTCAACAACACATTATATAACTAAAACTCCTAAAGATTACAAGCAATATAACAGATAACATAGTAATATTCAAATCATCTCAAATTACTATTACCAAATCCTAATCTAGTGCTTATCTCACTAACGAAATCCACCTAAACTGATGATTAAACAAATAGTATGCCACACCTTACATAATGCATATTAATTCAGCACAAACTCTATCGTTAAGAACGATACCAAGGTTATTAACTAACATCAAAATACATCTACAAAAGTACTAATTATCTCAATAATTATCCAATTTATAACAAAAGAATAATCTTCTTACCTATATAATGACATGTAACACCAAAAGCTTGCAGAGTCGACCTCCCTGCCTGCCCCATGGATGGGGTGCAGTACAGGAGTGAATCTGTCAAATACCTCTGCCTTCTTTTATAACAGCTTCACTCTCACGGTGGTATAGCTACCACACATAACCTGTTCTGGGAAAGCTAGGTCTTGTTATTGGGAGGGAGACAGGAAGTCTTTTGTTTTGGGGGTTCTTATCCGATGTTTACAATCTGGGGTTTGTTTGGCAAAGTTATTACAAGTGTTCTGGAAGGGGGGGGGGGGGTCGAGTTTCCAACCTTTGACCAAGTGACCATACATCATTAACTCTCTCATAGCTGTGGAATGTCATGTTTTGGCCAAATTGATAGCTTCTACTCGGAATATGTGTGAGTCATACTTCTTTGAAGTACAAAGTTTGTTAACATATAAACTTCTTACTTTCCTCCTGAGGAGATATTGATTAGAAATGGATGTATATGTTTCACTATAAAACAGTTCAATTCTGACCTGTTACACATATATATATTTTTAAAATCATTTTATATTACTATTACTCTTAGTATTGTGTATAATCAAAGTCAACCTGCAAATCGTTTTCTCTCTCTCTCCTTCTCAGTCTCTAACCCTATTTTTTGTTCTTTCTCTTTCTTTTCCCGTTCCCTTTCTCTCTCCCTCTCCCCATTTTTTTCTCCCACTCTCTTTCTTTCTCTTGTCCTGTGTCTCCATGTTGTGTAGCGCCGAACTTTTGCTTATTCTGGGCAGCAGTTGTCGCAAGCTGATACATAAAGAAGAAGGTCGTGTGAAATTATTTATTTACCTTAATTGGGAGTAATCTTTTTCTGTTCGTTTCCTACTCCTACTCTTTTGGCACTTTCTGCACTCTATATAGTGCAATAAATCGATATTTGGAACGTTACACAAATGTACATGTATTATTCAAGACCAGAAAATATTTTTATTTGCCTAATTGTTGGTGTAGACTGAATACTTATTAAACGCATATATATTTGAATTCCGAAATAGATAACGTGAAATATATTTTTTAAATCACATACAATCTTGCGTTGGGGAGACCCAGAAGGTCGTTAACTTTACTTTTACATGTAGTTAATGCCTTTTCAGCTCTCAACTATACATTCGCATTTCACTTAAGTTAAGTTTACTGATCCTTTCATCCTCTGCTCTACCAGCAAAATACATCCAATGAATAAATCAAAATGATATTTATGGGATATCATTATTTGTAAGTATTTTATCTCTTATCCGTAATCTTTCGGAAACGCTTGTTGCTGCAAATAATAATAATAATAATAGCTCACATTTATAATGCGCCTAATACTACGTTTCTAGGCGCGGAACATATTATTATATTTTGACAGTCTATATGCATAAATTTATAGTGAATGCCTGGAGTCAGGGCCGTCACCTGATTATTTATGTCAGACGCTTTTGATCAGTGTTAACTGAATAATAGGTTTACGTGTAGCAGGTATTCAATATGAATTGTACAAAGCTTGGGCAGCATTATTTTCTTGTAAACGCACCAGAGGAGAAAATATATATTGATGTTATGCTCCTGACAACATTCATAAACTGGGACTTGGTAATATTGTTCAGATGAGAGAAAATGGTGCTGGGGTAGTGACTTCAATGCTAAATGTACAATTAAAGATAATCTGAAAGTTTGAGTGAAAACAGACCATTATAAAGGATATAATTTGGGAAAACTGATCTGATCGATTCCTGAATTATTCCAACTATTTTATTGCAATCTAATTACACTCTAATTACACTTTAGGTGAATTTCCACACATTATTTTAAGTGTTGAATTTTTTGTTAAAAGCCTGTCTTATGTCTTATTTTCATTAAAAAAGGTTGGGAAAATTCAAAAATGATTGGGAGAAGTTACTGTTAGAGAGTGTCGCACAGTGACACCTTCAAAGAAGACCATAAATATCTTTGTGGTTTGAGAATTATTTCATTTTTTTGTTGCATGTTAGAGGGTTTGTACAGTAAAAGGAATATAATCGGTAACATTTCATACAACAATTACGCATTTTCATCAACCTTCGACAATGTTACCTAGTCACTTTATAGGTGAAGCAGATGATTGGCAGTACGGGTATTGCGCTACGTGTCTTTTGTTGCTAAAAGCTTAAATGGCAAAAATAGGTTATTATGTAGGTTATTATGTTCTATCGCTTCCAAGCGAATAAGCGAAGGTACACCGGTAATGTGGAAAACTTCCCTCCTCAACCGCATCATTGGTGGATGCGGGGGAGGGGGCTGGGGGCGAGGGGGGGGGGGGGAGGGGACTGGGAATACATGCCCTCTTCTTTCCGGCAAAAGACCCAATCTGTTTCACCTTAGGTATACAATATACAGTACACACAAGAACAAACAAATTACAAATCTATTTGTTTGTCTCCATCAAAATTATCATCTGAAAAAGAAAAATACGATATGTAATAACCCCTCCCCCTTTTCTTTTTCCTAATTGTCAGAGATTTGTGTTTACTTGTGTGAACCACCCTCAATTTAAAAAAAAAATGAAATCCTGGATCCGCCACTGTTTCTGATGCTGAATCATGGTAATAGCAGACGAACCTTTACATTTGAAGTAGGCATATCTAAACCAGAGACTTTTGTCTATGAAACAGCATAGTTCCCAACATAACTTGTCTTGAAATAATCTTACCTTGAAATCATTCGTTTTGTTATCAATATTCTAAAGGGTGAAATAGAGAACAAGAAACCAAACAGAGCTAAACCCCACTGAATTGAATAAATGTGAAAGAACGAATATACGCAGGTCTAAAAATGACTGCGAGTTCCTACTGAATCTAGAACACATTTATAATATTTCCCCTGAGCAATCGATACGGAATGATGCAGGTAAAGTGTTTGTGTAGTAATTTATATCGATGCATACAAATTCTCTTCGTCTTCATTGGTTTGGCAAATTATGATTTGCTGCAGATGCGCTAAAATTCAATTTAGCATTTTCAGGATGTATTTTTCTCTCCACTATATGCCCTTTGCCTTTGCTCCAGACTCCTACACGTGACATAGATATTAGTTGAATGCAAGGTTGAGTTGTGCTAAAGACGAAAATACATTTTATGAGCTTTCTAATGCATTCTTTGCACGTCCATTTGGAAAAATATTATAGTTACAAATGTCCCACACTCTAAAAAAATATTGGGCAAAAAATTGCCCAATTTTGACCCAACATGAGGGCGATTATGTGTCCAACCAACTGTTGGGTAAATTAAATATATTGCATGACTTACCCAGTGTTGGATAACAAGAAAATACCCAACTTTTAAAGATACTATGTCCCTTTTGCAGCTAACCCCAAATTCTGTAGAAGTATTATGAATATGTCATGTATGTCCTATATGTGAAATTTAAACGTTAGCAGTTTCCTAATATTCAAATTATACAAGGAAATCCGTTTACTGGCTAGACTTCACTGTCAGACACCATTGAGTGACTGACTGGCTTCTTTTCTTCTTTGGTAATAATATACATAAAACGAGCTGTAAATGGTAAATGGGCATTTGTCTTCATCAATAACCCACTTCTTGTCATGGCCCAAATTAAGTGATTAAATCTTTGCGCAGCATAAAACATACGACCATTCGGTACAATGGTCTGAAAATCAAAGCTATTACTTACTGGCTCTATAGCTCCTAAGTCGATTCTACAACTAATAGTTGTTATTTTCCCACTTAAAGACATTTTCAAGCCCCCTTCTTTTAGGGAAGTTCTAAATTAGTATTATCTTTCAAATGACGTTGGAAGCTAACCTTTTCATTTTTTGGCCTGCAAATGGGACAAAGTACCTTTAACCAACAAAAAACTACCCAATCAGAAATTCACCCAATTCTCACCATAATGTGTAGCATATATTAGACACTAGTTGAGCAATTAAGTTGGATAAAATATTATATGCAAAAGGACATTAGTGCCGCGGCGGGATCTACGGTCGTGTGACTTATCCACTCGACCACGATACCTCTAATATAAGAATGAAACCCTATTGTTGTATAACAATGTTTTCTGGCTTACGTTTGCCCAGTTACATCTGCCCAACTTATATTGACCATGTAATTGGGTAAATGGTTGGGAGAAAATAACGCAAATGTTAGACAAAAATGGCGCAACTCTAATTTGCCCAATAACATTACCCCATTATTTCATTGGTTACTACATGGTTGGTAGGAAATAACCCAATTGTTGGACGACATTTGCCGAACATCGATTTGCCAAGTAACACCTACCCAACCCATTTTTGTACCTTTCTTGAGGTAACTTCATATAGTGAATGGTTGGGAGAAAATAGCCCAATTATCGAACAAAATTTGCCAAACTTCGATTTACCCAGTAACATCTGCCCAACTTGTTTAACAGTGCATGCAAAGGATTGCACTTGACTTGCCATCATATTCAAAATATGACGAGAAACTGCTGAAAAATGTGGAACAAATTTTCATATTTATAGTTCCATTAGTATCCATTCCAGTGTCCATCGTGTGTTTTGCATGTTTTTCTTAAATTTAATATCAAAACCAAAAAGTACACGCGAATTCTTTTGTGGTAATTATTCATGATTATGAATAATAGATCTACATGTACCAAACTACTTCAAGAGAGCTTCTTTCACAGTGGCATGACCAGTATTAAATGTTATCTATAATGTAAAATACTATTTCCATTTAAAGATCGGGTGACATCCAAATATAAGTTGATTCCTGTTGATGTGCAGTTCTGCATACAACTCAAATTTGGTTATTTAATTGTTATTTTGAAATGCTCACTATAACCGGTTTTCCTATATAGCACCATATTTTTTACCTTTTTGCGGGATTCATTTTGAAAAGCGTAAAATTGGCTTTTTTAAAGACAATTTTCATCTCAACATAATAACCACTTTACTAGAACGTACTGCAATAAATACATTTATCTGTCAGTTTTGCCACTTTATTATTGCACATTTACTCTGTTGAGTTCCCTAGTATAATGTATTTTATGTCATGACCTATATGAAGTTGACTTCCGAAACGTATTCCCGATATTAAAAAAAAACGGCATTTGATGCAAAATTACAGACATTATACAAATTGAAATGGGGCCAACTCCAAAACGATCCTTCCGTATATCCTACTATTTGTAAGAATATTCTTATTGGTAATACAAAAGATGATAAGTGATTTATCCATATAGCCTCGCCTCCAAACTTTGCCATTCGTCCTCCACGCACTTATCATGCAAGAAAGGGAACACTGCAACTCTATCGACAACAAAAAAGATCATTATATGATAAATCTTTCTGTTGTCTGCAAACACCTAATATTCTGTAGATTTGTGACCATGATTGTTACGTCCCTTGAGAGACCAATGCAAGTAAATGGTGAAAGCAAACATTATCATCTTTTCTGGCATCGCTATGTAGGCCTCAGATTTATAGTTATCAATGTTTTCTTAAGCGCCTAGAGGGGCTAACA